TTTTTCTAATAATAAATTGAGAAAACCTTAGTCTATTATTCAGGAAAGTTTGCTTTTCTTGGACGTTGGAACTGAATTTTGAGAATTTTTCAAAATGCAACTTGTAATGACGTGAGCGTCTAAATTTACATATCACTGTTCAATAATTTATTACGACGGAACCAGTAGCCGCTGCAAAATCTTTTTTACATGAAAATATAGATAAAGCGCCAATCTATGATATACCGAAGCTTACGTTCCAGGGAGCTTTCAGTTTAGATTTGGGAATTATTCAAAATGAGGCCTGCATTGACTTTTTTCACAAAATTTTCTCTTTGTTGTTCAAAAATTCATTAGGGCCAGACCAGTGCAGATTGAATCGCGTTTAAACTATCAGTAACTAGAGACAAGACCAATCTATGATTTTGGAGAGTTTGGTTGTCTTGGACTGCTCAGGTGAATTTTGAGAATTTTTTAAAATGCGTGTTGACAGTAACTTTACCCGCTATTGTCCAAAAATTAATTTGGACCGAACCACTCCCGATTAAACCGCGTTTGTGGCCGCAATGAATAGAGCAAATCTTGCTCTATAAGTTTGCGGAGTCTCGTTTTTTTTAAGATTTAGGCTGAATTTTGAGAATTACTCAAAGTGAGGCTTACAATGACACTAGCGGCTAAATTTGCACGCCGTGGTTGAAAAATTTGTTCCGACTGAACCAGCGGAGATTGAAACGCGTTTTAACCGGCAATAAATAGAGCACACATCGCTCTATGATTCGCCGGTAAACCTACTCTTCTACTATGTTCCGTGAAATAGACTTTTAAGTGGCTAAATCAATCTACCTCAACTGCAAACTTTCCATACGTAAACCCAATCTCTGCCAGATATTTCCCGAATAACTCCGAATTCTTACCTTTGTAGAATAGAGCGAGAGTTGGTAAAAATGGGCCGCGTGCTGTTTAGCTAAACAACATGCCATAGACACTATCAATTGAGCGCAAAAGCAATTAACTTTGATGTTCCTTTGTTGTTTTCGCAGGCATTCGAGCCCTAATTGAATGTGATTCTTTATAAAATAGGCGAAAGAAAAAGCTGCTCGATTAATTAGTGAACAGGGCAAACCAAAGCTGCATACGGGGAAAAAGAAGGAGATTTATGCTTCTGAGCGGTTTGCTAATCGAATGTTGTGCATCTGTGGCTGAGTGGGTGCATCGCAGCTCTTTTTCCGCAAAAGACAAACTCAACGCAATCTCAATTTGCTAAATGTTTAACTCGGCTATTTTTATAAGTTATTCGACTAATTAAATGCTGCAAGCGACAGTTGAAAAAATTGGATTTTTTGCAGAAATTAACCGCTGAAAGTAGACCTTCGAAGGTAAGTGAAAAAAAAAGTTGTCAAATTAGAATTAAAGTTAACAAAGTGGGTGTCTATTTTTGCCTGTGTGACTTCCAATTGCTACTTTATTTGTTTGACTAAAATGGCACGAAAAATAAACTTAAATAAAACGCAAATGACTGGAATAATGCGAAGATGCAACTAACAGAAGCAACAAAGCTTGGAACCGTTTACGTTCAGTGCGCGTTTACGTTTCATTTCCCAGACTTTTCATCATAATAAAAAATGAACACTTTCCGATAAACATTGGCTATTTTCGATATTTATAATATTTTATTCATTTTCAGTAACAATAACACTGGCTAGGAATAACAAGGTGCTAAAAGCTGATACTATTTATCTGGCCTGAGCACGACTCCCCAAGTCCCACATACACAATATGCAACATTGAACTTTCACTAGATGAAGTGGCTCATAAATTATTGGCCCGAACACATTAATTATTGCCGCCTATTTATAAGCACCAAAAGGAAATTCTTGGCGAAAAACGAATGCGTTAAATTGATTAGTTAAGGAAACATGGCAAGACTCAAAAACTCGTAGCTCCTCAACCAGAGGCCACGTGAAGCTGAGCAAAACAGCTGTTGAAAGGGAATATTTTGATCTACCTTCTGAGCAAGTTTGGTGAAAATACCAAAGTTGTCCAAGTTTTGGCGAATTAAAAATTCATAACTTCCCCACCAGGTTTCTGCAGCCCTTTACTTTCCTATTTCAGGTTTGCAAATAAAACAGGCTTTCAAATGTACAATAAGATCACTTTAGGGCTTGAGGGTTGAGCAGAGAAGCGAGAATATAAACAAATTCAAAAAAGGACTAAATATTTGCAAAAAATGAAACAATTTCTGATCTAAAGAGTTGTAAAGTTTTGAAAATTTGTCAAAAAATCCGTGATGATGGAGAAAATTCAAAACTTTCAGGGTTCGTAGGTGTGACCCTAAGCTACAAAACTTAATACGCGGCAAGATTTCAACTTGGTTGGTTTAAAAGCCATCAAATTCTTAAGACTAACTTCTA